CTCCGGGTCCCCGATCCACCGTCACTTACCAAACCACTCCGAAATATACCCAAAATCCCAAAATCGACCGTAATTTCTTTTGACTTTGCGCATGCGCCACGCTGGAACCAAAGGTACCATGACTACCAAATTCCGGCGAGGTACTTTTCACGTTGGTACCTAGGTTCCCTGAAAAATTCAAGGCGATACCTGCATTCGTTTAGGTCGTTTGTTCTTCAGACGGTTCCTGCCGTTCGGATTTTTCCGCCATTTACGGAACCAAAGGTACCATGAGTACCAAATTCCGGCGAGGAACTTTTCACGTTGGTACCCATTTCCCATTTAGTACCTCTATACAAAACATATAGACTCATGAGTTAAGCTGTGCTGTTTAACAGAAACCTAGGCAAATCAATACGCTTCACTGTAAACACTGTAAATTTAAAGTCAATCGGGTGCTAATTTTGTTTTCTTGATAATCCTACAGATTTTTTAAAAGAGCTCAATGGCCACAACTCTGGCAGTAATTATCATAAATTTTTGAAAATCAATACACACTGAGTGTGCATTTTAAGTAAATTTGGTAATGACTTTAGAGCCTCTAGAGCTTTTACAAGTAATTGTTGATGCCGGACAGATGAACGGATGGATGGACCGACAGGCAGTTGGGTTGACACCAATATAGGACCATATTTCAATGTGGCCCTAAAAAGGTTATTCTTATTTCCTCTAGAAAAACCAAAATGACTGCATATGTGGTTCAAAAATTTTCTTTTTCCAAAATTTTAAGATTTGAAATTTTAAACAAAACATCTTTTCCTTGATTCAAGTTGGTATTATTTTATGAACATGCCAAATAACATAAAATCCAATTGCAGTATAGGACACTTGTTTACAAAGTATAGGTTTAAAATAATGCAACACTTATTTCTATAGGGGTCATAATTTCCCTTGCAAAATGAACATCACCAAATTGTCTAGTACTTTCATGATAAATTCACAAAATCATTAAATAATTTTGCAGTGGGATATCCAGGTTTTTTTTTTACTAACATCCAAATATCTATAGTTTCCACAGAAAGGTAATTTAATAGTATTGCTACATGTACATGTCATCCACTATACCATGGTTTCATCCATAGGGGAGACAAATATTCAAATAATACACCCTTGATGATTGTGCTATTTTTGTAGACCAATCAAAGAAATACATAAAAACTGACATAAAAACATATATATTTCCCATCAAAAGGATGTTTTAGAATATACCCTTGGGTGCATGTCTCTTCTTTTATATAAAAGTTCTTGCAATATTTCAAATAATCTATTTAAAAAAACCCCACAATATTGTTGTGAACATAAACAGTGAAGCTAAGACTGGTTTGTAGAATCAAACTACCATCAAGGGCAGATAATTTGAATATGTGAACACCCCATAGACGAACCCAGTGTATAGTGGAGTGGATAATAATGAGACTACTGAGGATACCAAGAGATTTGTATGTTAATAAATTATATATGGAATTTGGAAATTGTTTAACTTTTCCATTTAGTTGAAACCCAAATATTTACAATGCATAATTTCGAAATATACACCATTGAAATTTGGAAGGGTTGGATGAATAGTGATCATGCATGATGAGATCAAAATATTTGTGCCAATCTGAGTACCAATCACACCTATTCCCCCAATACTATATATATGTAGGCAGCATTAGAAGTGTAAAATTAGTTTTTTCAATTACAGGTAGTCATTTTGAAAGAATTCCTATATATAACACCAACACCGTACAGCCAGCAACAGCTTTAACATACGTTCAGTTATTTTTTAAATTGACAATATTGTCTAAATTGAGACCCCAACAAATGTCACAAAATGATGAACTGTAAGGGTCAATTGCAAATAGAATTATAAATCAATTTTAGATCTGGCTCGAATTTTGTTTTGTATGTCAATTGCCATTTTAGGAATGAAATGAAATGAAATGAAATGGAGTTTAACGTCCTACTGTTCTGCTCCTAACCTGGGCTAATGAAGACGGGCATACGCCGTACAGTGTGCTATGAGGGAAATTTTGCCCGGACAGCGGCACTACGGCCTACTCTAATATCGAATTCCAACTGCCAAGGGATCTTTTACGTGCACGCCAATGTGTACACGGGACCTCGGTTTTTCGTCCCATCCGAACGACTAGACAGCTTTCCTTGTCAGCCCCTCCGTCCTGCATCACTGACAAGGGAGAACCACGCCGGAAAATCTGGATGAACTTTCTCGGCCAATGCAGGGATCGAACATCCGACCTCCAGGCTAGCAAGCTAGCGTCTTACCCACTTAGCCACGTGATCCCCATTTTAGGAATGACCTATACCGTTTATATAAATATAATTGTGTTCAAACTTTCAGATATTTAATTAATGGATTAGTTAGGGTGGACAAACAACACAATATGGAAAATCTATTTCATAAATAATGTAACTATATATATTATTTCGAAAATCTATTACACTTGTGTTCGTAAGCAAGATAACATAATATATCAAATAACTTATCCGAAACAGATTCTCTATCAGTATATATTATAAGACCAGGTACATGTACATTTGACAAACAGACTTAGACACCTTGTCCCTCTCATTTCATTTCTTTAATTTTCTCCAAGATCAACTCTTTTCTCTATACAATTTGTCACTTGCCATTTGTCTGTATTGTCCTTTCTAACAAGACGTTTATACCACAATAATCTAGGATATCCATCGTATCACTGACAGACCAAATGACACAATCTGTTTCAGTGCAATTTAATAATTGTCACATAATTTTATGGAATACAATTACTGTTTACTACAAATTTACATTGAAACTTGGATTCATTTCAGACATATATACCTTATCAAGCAAGTGATACCATTATACAAAGAGACCCACGATGGATCAGTGATAAAGACGCTTACTCCGGAGTCCCAAACTGGAGTTGGTTGAGACAGTTACTCAGATTTTTACGTTGTCTAGTTGTTTGGATAGTACCAAAAACTGTTGTCCCGAGCTTTGTGGTGGGGTGGCCTTATGTTTGCACTTTGAATTATGAGGTTTGTCATGGAGTCAAGTTAGTGGCGCGGGTTTCAATCCCAAGCTTTTGTGTGACTAAGAGTAAGGTCGTCTGATCAACTTTGTGGGTTTTTTTGGGCCCTCCGCTTTCCTCTCAATGCTAAAAACCCTTAGACACAAGTGAATTATGGAAATATACTGAGCACCATGGAAAACGCATCACTTTTTTTCCCAAATATTTTATTACTAGGTGGTTTTGTATGTATAATATTATGCAATACTATGAACTATTGTTTCACACAATGCCCAAAACGCAAAAAATATCGGCCCGTGTGCACAAAAAAAATTGCACGAGATGCACAGGAAAAACCCAATATTCACGTGCAGCATTGTGTGTGAGCCCTTTAAAAGCATGTTTTCAATGTGCAGTACATGAACTGTGAAACGTCAATCTGTCGTAATTTGTTGTTGGACGTGTGAAGGAATCGAGCTAGAGATGCCAAGACTTACTGAAAATCAACGGAATGAAGCCATGGGAATGTCCCCGGCTGGTATGTCTACACGTGCTATTGCCAGACACTTCAATTGTCATCAGTCCACTAATGTAAGGTTGGTGGAACGTGTTCGAGTTACTGGATCAACACGTGACCGTCAACGTCCTGATCCACAACGCGTTACAACCCAGACTCAAGACCGCTACATCCGGGTCACTCATCTGCGTGACAGATTCCGCCCAGCGACTCAAACAAGGACACCAGACATGGAGAAGAGTAGACTGGCAAAGTGTGCTCTTCAGTGATGAGAGTCACTTTCATCTTTATCACGCCGTCTGTATCGGAGACCACAGATGCACACCATTGCTGCTTTAGAAGCTGCTCTTGTCCAAGAATGGAACAATTTGCCCCAGGCCTTCTTTCAAACATTGGTTAATTCCATGCGACGTCGCTGCACAGCGTGCGTAAGAGCCCGTGGAGGACACACGCGCTACTGACATCTGTGTCGTACTTTTGGTTTTGACCCCTCTGACTTTGTACCGTTGATTACAGATTAAACATCCATAAGTGTACAAATGTGTTGTTATTGATGTGTTCCCATTTGAATATTGTTCACAATAAGAAGCAAAATAAATAAGATATGTTTACAGGATCATTTTGTTATACGAAAAACTAAGTGATGCGTTTTCCATGGCGCTCTGTATAAAATTCTACCATATTACGTTTGTCTAGAAATGCAATAATTTGTATCAAGTGGACATACCCCCTCCCCCCTTTCCATTATAAATATGTAAAAACAAAAGGAATTTGCATAGCTAATGATGACCAATCTGAGGCATGAGAATAATTACTCCCATCTTGGCATCACACTAAAATGATATGATTTTACAATATATATTTAGTAAAGTAACGATGTGTCAATGACATTTGTAATAAATATCTAATTTCTCATGGTTTAATCCACACCAATATGTATTTACTTTGATTATTTCAAATGTAAGTAAGAAAACAAAAAATAAAAATACCAATGCAGGATAATCACTTGACCTTGATTCAATAATTATTCAACGAGAATAAAATGATGACTGGCTTACATGTATTACATAGTGAGCATCCCGGATAAAATAAATTTCAATTCAACATATCTTTGTAAATAATAATGTAATTGAGCCATTCTTGGATAGATATTGTAGATTGCACGTGATTCTGATTACCCTTAAATGACACACTGGTACCTTAATGGCATGTCCCCGACAGAATGGACATCATTAATTGCATGATGGATGCTAGTAAATCCTAGTTGAAACGTCACTCAGTAATAAAAAGTACTTGTCTTCCATAGAACTGTGTTTAACATCAATCTATGACCCTTTTCAATTTTCTAATACTGAATGGTATTTTAATGTCAACCCTCACTTCAAATAAAATTGCAATTAATAAAATACGGACACAGTGTAATGGCCTACATAAAGGATACTCACAGATTGTTGATCACAATGGAGTCGACAGGGGCATACATTATGTTGTATTATGAAGATCGAGACCTTACGCGTGGAAATTGTATTATATGATGGTATTACTTTCTGTAACCACAACTGACTACACATCTATAAATGTCACTGATTTCTCTTCAAAATCTTCAACCAAATGATCCACTTCAATAGCATCATTCTCTGAATCATACTGCACGTTATATACAGCTCCTTTATGACCATCAACACCACGGACAAGTTGAAGTACCGTCCCATCATACCACTTGGCTATGCCTAAAAGAAATCATATGAAATTACAAAGAGAGAGAGAGAGAGAGAGAGAGAGAGCGAGAGAAATGGGTTTAATGTCCATTCGACACAAACTAGGTCATTTCGGGACTAACATATGGTTTAATTTTATTTAAATAATTTGCTTGCGCAGTGGGAGGAAACCGGAGGATCAGGAGAAACCCCACGAGGTTGGACAGGCGACCCTACTCCTTGTCACGTACAACCGGGGAATCGAAACCATGCCAGTTGACTCAATGACAGGCCTTATGACACAGCGCACCTGCTAACCATTCGGCCATCCAAACCCCCCGAAATTACAAAGAAGATTTGGTGCAATGTGATATGTATTGGGTGTTTGAAAAGATTAAGCATACACTCCCTGGAATTAAATAATCTGACTAAACAGTTGGAATACAAAAATATAGACAACATGCTAAACTATTTGTCCATTGTATCAGCCACTTCAAATGAACAGCAACGAAACTCTGGACAGCTGCGTTTAATATAAAGAATGTACATTGTTACTTACCCGAAGCTTCATCAACAAAAACTTGTGTGATATCCGACGTCCAACTAAATGTGGATGTATGACACGATTAGATGATGGCCATCTTGGCAATACAGTAGCGTTATTGGATGTTGATAGTATTGGAGACTCAGAGGTTACAGATCCCTGTGCAATATGTGTACTGGCATGTGCTTTTGACTGGTTTCGATTTGAAGAACAAAACTGAAATAGAAATAAATATCAGTTATATTTTTATATAATTTGAGACCTTTGTAGTTTTATGCCCATTCACAAATAAATAATTATAACGTTTACAAAATCAATTTTACAGTATCTGAAATGTATGTTAGTAAATGTTTATATTAGATTATATGATAAAGAATAGCATGTACCCAATTGCCAGGTTCGCGAATTCCAGGAATCTTTCCATATCTCGGAACAGCTAATTCTGGCAAAAGACATTTAAAATAAAATGCTTTAAGTTTTGGAAGCATAGATGTTTGCCATAAATTTTCGTCTCGAGGAACACGCTGAACATGTAGCTGGTGTGGATTGGTAGCTTGCACTACTAAATCAGCCCAATTTAGATTAAAAATGTTCAATTGTCCCTGGATCTGAAAGAAATATTTATGGCTTGTCTTCAGTTGTAGTTTTCCATTGACAACAGCTAGGCAGAAATTTTGAACAGATTTGGCAGCTTCTGTAAAGGTAAGTTTTTTTTATTCTGCAGCAAGTTCTTAACCTCCAGTAGGCCTTGTTGTCCATCTGTAGCTGATGTTATAAGACCATCGGTACTAGCAGCAAGTAATGGATAGTTATCATCAATGCATAAGCCTTTAGGCTCAACCGAAACAGGATCACCTTGTGAAGATTTAAGGGCTTTGTATTCAACTATTGTGGCAGCCTCTGATGCAAGTCCTACAGATGTGAATTTGTTGCCTTGAAAAGTCCCATACAGAAGTCGTTTTATTATGGGCTGAATTGGGATATGGGTGTTGCGTTTTATAAGATCCCCAAAGTTTGATGAGGTCAGTCTTTTCCTCCTCTCACTTTGCCACAAATGAGACCGAGATTGAGCATTGGTGCTTTCTTCAATTGCCTTTTTGGCTTCAGCACCAATGTTTAAATGGCTCAGTACAAAAGCAGTCATTCTTGCATTCAACTCATCTGGACTAACATCAGGAACCACATCAATTGCTACTGGTCCATATTCCTCTTGAGCCTTTTGAGAAGCACTAACTTTGTTTTTTGCATTTTTTTTTTCTTCCATCGTCTTGCTTTTTGCACAGGTCTTGCTGCTAGCATCCTAGTCTGCTAGATTTTTCTTTTCTCTAGCCTGGAGGTCGGGTGTTCGATCCCTGCATTGGCCGAGAAAGTTCATCCAGATTTTCCGGCGTGGTTCTCCCTTGTCAGTGATGCAGGACGGAGGGGCTGACAAGGAAAGCTGTCTAGTCGTTCGGATGGGACGAAAAACCGAGGTCCCGTGTACACATTGGCGTGCACGTAAAAGATCCCTTGGCAGTTGGAATTCGATATAAGAGTAGGCCGTAGTGCCGCTGTCCGGGCAAAATTTCCCTCATAGCACACTGTATGGCGTATGCCCGTCTTCATTAGCCCAGCTTAGGAGCAGAACAGTAGGACGTTAAACTCCATTTCATTTCATTTCATTTCTTTTCTCTAGCATCATATAATACAGTGAATGCAGTTGTTGGGTCTGTATTGGTCACTTTTTTCCACACAGTAGGAGACCAAGCAACACCTAGATTTTGTCGAAGCGCTCCACCATAGCATCTTGCATGCCACAAGCCCCGTTGACATCTGTTGAAGAATTTACCACCGTCAAACTTGGCTCGGACATTCATCCACGCTACAGCCAGATTGGTTGTAAAATTTCCAAAAAGCCTTGATGATTTTGATGCTACTCGTTGTAGAATTGGTCTAACATCATCAATGATTTCTTTCTCAATAGAGGTAAGGGTTGTTCCTGATATTGCTATTCGAGAATGATCTTGTGATAACAATGAGGATCCATCTGTCCAGAATGCATGTTTGTTATTAAGTACTTGGATCACCATTTCATTTTCTTCTGTTTCATGATATTGGCTTTCTGTGCTGCTCATCAAAGTTGGTTGTTGCTGGTCATTTGGTATTCTTTTACTGAACTCTGAGCAGTGTGATAATTTGGCTTTTATCTTAATTGGAAGTTTACGATTTTTGAAGGCATACCTACCAAAAGCTTTGTTGAAAGTACGCCTGGCTCTCTTTCTGGAGACACCCATCTTGAAATGTCAGGTACCAGAGACTTGGTCAATGACGAGCAAAGCAAAATCCAAGAAACAATGTTTAGTAGTATAGCGAGGTCATTCCTCAACTGACTAGAACAAACAATTATTTCTAAGACTCGGTCTGCCCGGAGATGCATAAATCAAGCCCTAGCAAGAAAATCTGTTTCTTCTTAGTGGTAGTGGAGGTAGTCCTTCAGACGCTACTAGAGACTTGATCAATGACGAGCAAGACAAAATCCAAGAAACAATGTTTAGTAGTATAGCGAGGTCATTCCTCAACTGACTTTAACAAACAATTATTTCTAAGACTCGGTCTGCCCGGAGATGCATAAATCAAGCCCTAGCAAGAAAATCTGTTTCTTCTTAGTGGTAGCGGAGGTAGTGCTTCAGACGCTACTAGCGAGGTCATTCCTCAACTGACTTTAACAAACAATTATTTCTGAGAATCGGTCTGCCCAGAGATACATAAATCAAGCCCTAGCAAGAAAAGCTGTTTCTTCTCGGTGGTACTGTTTGTGGTCGGTACAATGTACTACCAGCAATCCTTCTTTATTTGCTCACAGATTACTTTCAACCAAGCCTCAGCAAGTAGAGGACAAGGATGAATGCCATCTTTGTACAGTGTAAAGTTGTAGTAGGCTCTTGTCTTGGCCACTACCCCAGGTTTCGATTTGTATTTAGAAGTCCTGTAGAGATTCAAAGAAAATTGAGGTGAACGATGGATGTTAGAATCGTTCAGAGCTCGAATATGTTTATTTATTGCCAAAACCTGAGTTTGTAATTGTAGGTCTTGGGCATCGAACTGTGATGGTTCTTTGTGTTTTTTCTTAGAATTCCAGGATTTGATCGAATATACTGGTGTCTCCAAAAAGGTCAGTTTACATACAGGATATTCGTTGAGGATATCTGTAAGTTCTTTGTGTAGTTGAAAAATGTCCTCAAGAATACTGTCGTCCGTGGACGTTAAACTGATACAACCAGACTTTGTTTTTGATGTTAGATCACAGGTACCGAGCCAGACGTACAGCCAAATGTCTCCCAGGTCTCTTACCACACGACGTATATTTTGCTTAAGCCAATCAACACCCTGTTTAGTTGTTCTTCCCTCTCGGTGTCTCCAAATAATTTCGTGTTGAAAGGGGGTGGAAACTTGGTCCTGCAAATACCGACCTTTGCTGTCCGAAAGAATGACAAGAGTTAATTTCCTCTGTCCATCTGGAGGTGATGTATCCTTTTTGATATATTTTTTCAAGGAATTTAAACTCATTGGTTACAATTATAATTTAAAAAGAAAATGTAATGGGTAGACTATATATATCAATGAAAAGTTTACCTGAAATAAATCACACGCGAAATTTGATATTATAATAAGAAAAATAATATAATTATTATAATAATAATAATGTTTACAAATACAATAAGAATCACAACAAACCAGGCCTTAAATAAAATAAGACACAAAATAATTTATTTAATAATATATTATAGCAAGGCTAAGCTTAATAAATTTAGCTTAGAAAATTCCAATAAAATATAGCGCTGAAAAAAATTGGTATAGTCAATTGATAGCTTTAAATTCAAACTATTCAGGAAGAGATTAAGCAAATAAATGAATAAGCTTACTGGCGTGTTCAGCACGTGCTACCTTCGGCGTTCCGTAGTCGCAAACAAAATACAAAATAACCCATTAATCAATTATTTTTTTCGCGATGGATACCACCACAATATAAGTTTCAATACAGTAATGCAGTCTGTACTTACCAATATATAAAACAAAATTCTTCAAAATATTCTTCAAAACTTTTTACAAAATTCCACATCTCCAGAGATCGATATCCCGATCACGAATGACATCGATGCTATCTGATGCTGTAATACATTTCAAATTTTATCGTAACAAAATATTCCCCAAGAAATATTCACAAAATAAAGTTTTTGTCAATTTTGTCAATTGATGACATTTGGAGGCCGAATGACACCTTCCGGGAGTTCTACAGCGAATCGCAATAGTACAGATCGACCAATTTAAATTCAATAAGTTACACTTCAGCAACAATTTATTATATATGCAACATACTCTTACTGATATGTGTCAAAGAGTATGACACATAATATGACACATATTAAGACACATATTAAGGTAAATTATAAAACTGAGCTAAAAAATACTTTAACGCGGAGTAATGCTCATAGATGGTGAAGGTCATTGTGTTGTATTGGGGTGTTTCTTCTAGGATTGTCCTGGATTAGTTTTAATTATTAAGAGTCAACAAACAAACATCTATCTTGAAGTTTCACCAAATCCCAGAATGCTCTAGGGCTAAGGCCTTTTATTAACAAGGGTAACAACTCTATATACCATAATGGTTTTAAGAAGGCTTCAGACCACATTTAACTAATTTGTATTAATCTACTTTGTTAAAGTAGAACAGTGAGCAAGTAATAGGGGCTATATATGACATCCCCCTGCTCTAAACAAAAACTCCATATAGGATTTTTGAAAAAATTGCTAATACCAGAATGAAAAAAAAACAAAAAAAAATTGCACACTCTCACTCATATATAATGAAACATGAAAAGTTAAAATTCGATTAACATGAAAAGTTAAACATATTTACATGAGTTCTCAGAAATGTTTGTCTATGAACTTGAGTTTAAGTACTGCTCTAACCTTAACATATATATTTTCTAAACATACTTAGTGTATATTCAACTATCCCCAAAAAATTTAAATACCTTACTTAATGAAGATTTGAACATCACAACAAAAGTGAGTAAGGAATAAAGATAGATACGTTATAATAGGTTTACTTAAATTGTATATCAAGACTATTGTAAGGAATACAATATTTAAAACATCTGATGTGAACACGAATAAGAACGAATCAAATTAGTAACAACAAAATTTACCAGTAATTGACAAATTATCATCTTTACACAATTGTTTAGTAATGTGACATAATTCCGGATTAGTATTTACATTGATCCATTCACATTTATTTGGTTTGGCCAAATTAAAATTTACCAACACTTGCAAAGTTCCATATTTCATGCGACCTTTCTTGATATGAATTAATTGATCATCATTAACAACTTCAGTTAAATGGTTTAACTGTTGCTCCATTTGTGAATAATCTAACTTAGAAATTGAGCTAAGTTTTGATCATCCTCGGTTACCCAGTGTACTCATTCCGTTCTACTCCAATATACCCTGGGTTAATCTATGGGGGAGACACGCTTTCAAGTTATCCGCCCTTGATGATTGTGCTATTTTTATCGACCAATCCCATAAATTGTTATTTGAAAAGGAAGTTGGCAAAGGTAAGTAACTCTCATCGAACAATGTTAGGAGTTTTTTCCCGGAATTTTATGTCCACGTGATATCGTAGACAAGTTATTGTGAATCAAATTGCCAAGCATAAGTTCAATAATAATAGACATAACAAAATGACATATTTCAGACAAAGAACGAATAGTAATAATAATAACAAAAGTCAAATATATAGATGTTATACATATTTGAAATCAACAACACATACTACAGATTTTGATAATACAATTAAATATAAATAAATTATAAATATATACATTATTTACATAAATCATTCAGTAAATGGACATGAATATGGTTATCTACGATTGGTCTGTAAACTGTTTTCTGGTTGGTTCGTAGATTGTAGCTACATTCTAGGCCAGGGCAGATAATTTGAAATCGTGGAAACCCTATGGATTAACCCAGGGTATAGTGGAGTAGAACGGAATGAGTACACTGGGTAACCGAGGGTGGGTTTTGATTATCTTTAAGATAATTTACACAATGGGAAATATCAACTGGTGTAGTAACTCTATTACTAACAATATTTGCGACATCATATTCAGGCAAAACTAAACCATTTTCAAAGATAAATAGGCAATTTATATCATTATTAGAAGATAAGTGAGCATTTTCGTTAACAGTTTTACCCAAATGTTGTCTTAATTGATCAATATGTGTTAAATGGTGATTTGGTTTATCAGAACGAACAAAACATGGTTTTAATCTATTAATAGTACCTTACCATCTAAAGTGGAAAGGACATAGTGCGTTCGATCTAAAATTTGGTGAATTATAAGGGGACCACACCATTCGGCTTTAATCTTTCTCGATTTCGAAGTGAGTGAAGACGACGAGGGCTTTAAGACATATACAAACTGGCCCCAACCATATATGGGATTTTTACTCAAGCTATGATTTATGCTTATGTTTTGACTCTCTTGCTGTCGTCGTTGAAGATCGAGCATCGTAGATGAAATAGCATCAAATTTATCTCGAAGATGGGTTAACTAATCTTCATATGACTTGCAAACACCATAAAAATTCCTACTCAATGAGGTTAAATTCTTAGGAGATTTACCAAAAGCAAGTTCATATGGACTGTGATTGCCTAATTGAGGGGAAGCAAAGGAATTATATGCATAAGAACAAGTGGACACATACCTAACCCAATCTGTACCGTATTGGTTTAAATTGATCTTTAATAAATCAGAAATTGATTTGATATGCCTCTCTACTAAAAGACTACCATGATTGGCAACACTAATGAGTTTATGATCAATCTGTAGAGCAGAAAATAATACAGAAATAAGCTTTCCCGTTAATGACGAAGCTGAATCAGTTATAAGAACAGACGGAGGACCAAATGTACAGACAATCTTTTGAATAATGGCCTCACAAATAGTCTCGGCATCTAAAGTCTTGAGTGGAACACAGGTAAGAAAACGAGTAAGCTCGTCACAGACAACCATGATATGTTTGAATCCTGTTGGTGACTCAGGCATAGATTTAAAGTCTAAACATATCCTATCAAATGTACGGTATTCTATAGGTATCCGTGGATGATACATTCGTGCATGATCTGTTTTTGCTTTAAACTGTTGACACTTATGACAAGTGTTGATGTACGTAGAGATGGTATTGAAAATACTGGGAAAATAGAACAGTTTTCTCATGATACCTTGATGACTGGATAAGAATAAGAATAATAAGAATACGACTAATTTATTCTGTAATATAGGTCCAAGACCAAAAGTTACAAATATGATATATACAACAATATTTACACCATAAATCATGAACTGGTGACATGGTAAATAGATTAAATAGATAATTTATAATAAATAAAATATAATGTATAAACAGATTTGTTAGAACAAACTTTTACGGTAGTTTGTAACATTATAGATATACATAGAAATTGAAGACAAAATATGAGGAGCACTGGTATTTGATAAGCTTAAATAATTATGTCGATTTAAATAGAACAATTCCATAGTATCAAAAGAAACAGATCTTATATGTTTTGTTTTACAACATTCAAACATAAAATGGAATAGATCTTCTTCACAATGGTGACATAACGGGCAAGTGGAATCGACAGTTAGATTTCTCTTCAAAAGAATTGATTTAGTGGGTAAAAGATTTAATCTAAACTTTGTGATGTTTCGTTTATGTTTAAAGGGAATATTACTTGATAAATAGGTTTCCTGGCTTAAACTAGTTTTGAAGTTAGAATACTCTCTTAAACTTTCACTTTCTAGTAATTTTGCTGACCATTCTTGTAAGTTTATATCTATTAATCTTACTTTAATTTGATTTAAAAACACTTTTTTATTTCCAATACACTCACTTTCAAAAGCAAAACCAAATCCTAAAGAGTTTAAAATAGTTCTAACTTTGGATACCCAGTTTGTTCTTCCTGCTTGGTCTATTTGTCTTAACATAAGGTACACTTGCTTGGGGTATCTTTCAATAGGCATATATATTAGTTTACACCAGTACTTTATACAAGATAACACATAGTAAATACTTAAAGAGTGTCTTCCACATTCTCCGAAGGTGCCAACATTTGACGAACTCTTGCTTATTCCTAAAATAAACTTGCAAAACTTATTATGTACTTTTTCTATTTCTGGTCTATATTCTACACCCCATAATTCGCTACCATACAGCAGAATTGGCTTAATTACAATATCAAATATTTTGAAACAATCTTTCACCCCTAAACTTGTTTTTAGGATTAAACTTTTTATAGGTATCAAGGCCTTTTCCGCTTTAACAAATTATGTGTATTCTTACCCCAGTTTAATCTGGAAGAAAATATTAGTCCTAGATAATTATAATAGGTTACAGTTTCTATTCTTTGATTATCTATAAACCATTTTTCATAGTGTTTAATTATTCCACCGTTTCTGAAGACAACAACTTTAGTTTTATCAGGATTGACTTTGAGGTTAAAATTTTTACAAAAGCTACTTAGTACATTAATCTTATGTTGTAAATTACCAACAGAATCAGATGCGTCGGTAATAGTAAATATGCCTCTATGGCCTTCTTCATCCAACATTTCAACCAAATTGTTAATGTATAGACAAAATAATAGTGGACTGAGTATACAACCCTGACTGACACCAGAGTTACAATTAAAATATGAGGTTAAATACGAGTTCAATTTCACACACGAGGAGACATTTTTATACATGCTATCTAAAGCAGTATACATTTTTCCATGCAAACCTTTGTTTATTAGTACAGACATTAGCTTAATTCTACTTAAAGTATCGTATGCTTTACTGAAATCTACGAATAATACGAATAACCTCCCCTTGGACTTCGATAGATATTTTTGAATTGAACCCTGCAATGTAAAAGCATGATCTATTGTTGACCTACTTTGGCGGTACCCTGCCTGTGCTTCATCTAGTTTTCCTTGACTTTCTGACCAGTATTTTAGTCTATTATTTAAAACTGCTGAATATAGTTTGCCAATGCTGTCCAATAAAGAAATACCCCTGTAATTGTTGAGATCTGATTTAGAACCTTTCTT